GTCATTTCATAACTGCACATTAATAAAATAAGACAATCGTTCAATTCAGTCATTGTAGTTACTACAAAATGTCGACAACTCTTGGTTTTTACGTTTTAAAAAAAAATTTGCAGAAATATTACTGCTGGCCCTCCAAACAATGGTATATTGGGATCGGGGCAATAATTTTGGTTGCTGTGAATATGATGTGGGTATTTTATCCCTTGCTAGTAGAATTTATGAGTAAGTAATATCGAAAAATTGTGTGTTTAAAAGAAGAGAAATAATTTTCTTTAATTTTGAGATTTCCAGGCGAATTTTTCAAAATGTTTATTTCATATGCAATTTATTATGGTGATAACTTTAGTTTTGTCTGGTTCTATCCAAGCATTGCGATATCGTAATCAAACGTTCGAAATGATTAAATTATTAAGCGATTTTAATCAACTTGACATTCCGCGAGAATTGGAAACTATTGAAAGAAAATTGAAATATGTATTGAAAATTATCCATTGGAGTACCTACCTCTTTGCATATCTCGTAACATATTTTACCTTGTTGGACGATAATTGTGCTACATTTAAAACAATTAAACATTGTTTAATATTGGTTTATTATGTACCATTTGAACTGAAACCGTTGAATATGACTTTATTGTTATTGTTTCAAATATACACAATAGGAATTTTAATGAATATTATATTCGTTACGACAGTGATGTATTGTTATTCGTTGCAATTATTGATTATACGTATTGAACACCTTAATGAGAAGATTGATGGCATAACATTAACCAGAAACAAGGAAAGAAATTTTAGAATGCTCCGGCCTATTATCATGTATCATCAAGATATATTCAGGTATCGTCGTCTTAAAAATGCCTTGGTACACAAATAAATAAATTACTTATTTTAGGATGTTTCAATTCAGTAATGATGTCTACACCAACTTAATTGTGCCTCAAAAACTGTTTGCTTTATGTATTTTAACTCTGTCTACTACATCTTTTTTTATGGTTTAAATATTAATTTAATAATATATTATAATCAATATGATATTTTTTAGGGAAAAGATATAGCAAGTTTAGCCAGCGCAATAGCAACTTGGTTTGGA